TTACCTTGTAGTGTGGCTGTGAAAAATGAAGTTTCAAACAGTCAAAAGGAAAACCCTGGCCCAAGTGTAACTGACAAAGATAAAACTTTTCAAAATCACAAAAAAATTCCTGACCCAAGAATAACTGACAAAGATAAAATTTCTCCAAATCGAAAGAAAATTCCTGGCGCAAGTGCAACTGACAAACATAAAACTCGTCCAAATCAAAAGAAAATTCCTGGCTCCAGTGTAACTGACAAAGATAAAGATGTTGAAAGTCCTGGCCCAAGTGTAGGTGACAAAGATCATAAAGCTGAAAGTGCTGGCAAGAGTGCAACCAAAAAAGATAAAAAGGCTGGAAGTCCCGGCCCAAGTGGAACCAAAAACGGTCAAAAAACTGAAAGTCCTAGCTCAAGTGCAACCAAAAAAGGTAAAAAAGTTGAAAGTCCTGCACCAAGTGTGGTTGAAGAAGACCATGAGTATAAGAAAAGGTCCAAGATCAAGAAAAAGATAAAACCTAGAAAGCAAAGAAGAAAAGAAGAAAAAAAGTCAGAAAAAGATAAAAAAACTGAAAGTCCTGGCCCAACTGTAGGTGACAAATATCAAAAAGATGAAAGTCCTGACTCAAGTGCAACCAAAAAAGATCATAAAGATGAAAGTCCTGGCTCAAGTGTAACCGAAAAAAATGAAAAAGTCCAAAGTCTTGGCCCAACTGTAAGTGACAAGGATCAAACAGCTGAAAGTATTGACTCACGTGTAACCAAAAAAGATAAAAAAGTTCAACGTCTTGGCCCAACTGTAGGTGACAAGGATCAAACAGCTGAAAATCCTGACTCCAGTGTAACTGAAAAAGATCAAGAAGTTGAAAGTCCTAGCCCAACTGTAGGTGACAAGGATCAAACAGCAGAAAGTCCTGATGCAAGTGTAACCAAAAAAGATCAAAAAGTCAAAAGTCCTAACCCAACTGTAGGTGACAAGGATCAAACAGCTGAAAGTCCTAACTCAAGTGTAACTGAAAAAGATCGAAAAGTCGAAAGTCTTGGCCCAACTGTTGGTGACAAGGATCAAACAGCTGAAA